ATCTCCTGAAGCGCCATGACATGTGCACCCATCTCACAGAAAAGGTTGATGATTGCTGGGAGCTTTGCGGCCCCGCCCTTGCCCACGTTCAAAGAAGCGAAGTACGTCATGACGAAGAACCCGCAGCCCCCGAAATGAACTCCCGCGCGATGGAGAAGAGCTTGGCATGCTCGGCAGAGGTGAACCCATGCGAAAGCTTGGCAGAGCGGCGCTCCTCAATCTTGAGGCGCCGCAGGTGGCGCTTGGTGGTCACTCTCACCCTCTCATCGGCGCCCCGACAGTTGTGTCGATTTGCAGACAGAGCCGTCCCAAATGAGCACAGGCAACCCTTGCATCGGAAAGCATGTGTGAGTCGCAGCACTAAACGCTTGCACTTCCGGCCTTGGAGCTGCCAGCGCCGAGGGTGGATCTGAGGCCACCGAAAGACATCAAAGGCACCCACGGGGACCTTCGGGGGGCCCTTGGAGAGGATCGTGACTCGAAGTCGCTGGTTGGCAAGCCTCCTCTTCGCTGGCTTGCCCACATTCACGGCAATGTTGCGGGACTTCCATTCCTTGATGGGGACCCCAGGGTGAGCAGCTTGCCGGTGTCGCTTGACTCCAGCCTGGAAAGCGCTCTTGGAGAGCGCAGCTTTAGCACCTTCAGGGAGGCCGTACCTGCAGCACGGGCACATCCAGTCTGTGGCCGTCCCTGCCTTGATCTTGCAAAAGGATGAGGTGTCGACGCGAAGGGCGCCAGGGAGACCTCGCCCGCCATGATGGTTGGTGCAATGCCGATTTCGCACACCTGAGGCAATGCTCCTCGTACTGCATTCGATCTGGAAGGGGCAGAACTCACACTTAAAGAAGACCTTGTCGCCGAAGACAAACGGAGACTGCTTGCGCCACTTCACAGAAGAGGCTCTCGCAGGCCGTTGCATTGCAGGAACAGGGGGCGGTTCCACAGCCTCAACCGTCTCGCCTGTGAAGTCGCCGAAGTCAGGGCCGCGGCCGTGGCCCACAGAAGGACCAGCAGCAGACCGTCCCCCCAGAGTGCTCGGGGCCTTGCTAGCAGTCTGCCCTCCAAGCTTGCTCAGGCCCGCACAGGAGCCCGGAGTCATGCCACCCAGCTTGCTAGCCGCACCACCACCAGTTCGGCCACCAAGAGAGCTCGCAGCACACGAAGACGGTCCACCTCCGCGGTCCGCAGCCAAGCCAATCACAGCAGGCTTCGCATCGGCGATGTCCTGCTTGGGCACCGGACCTCCAACAACAGCCTGGTAGTGCCTCTTCTCAAACCAAAGGCAAATCGCTCTGCCCTTGCCCGCTGGATTGAAAACCCTCAGCCCATCATCATCTGGACGGCAAATGAAAATCGGCTGGTCGAGGGTGTTGGCCAGGGCAGACAGCTCGAGGCTGCCCCCCCAAGCGCCCGGTTGGGCAAGCCTAGTGAGATATTCTCCGAAGCCTTGGGAGGCGATACACGAGCCATTGGCGTCGGGGGCGTCTCCACGCCAAAATCCTTGGAAACTCCGTTGATGCCGCCTAAGATGGGTCACAGCCAAGGTCCTCATCTCCGAAGCCGTCCGTTTCGTTCTGCCCTGATCCTGCAGCACGTCTGCTACAGCCTGAAATAGGCAATTGCCGTCCGATGCGTTGTCTTGCAAACGCATGCCTAAAGGCACTCCTCTTGCCGCGTCAGCACCGGCACGAGATTTCTTAGCAGGAGCCTCG